TAATTGTTTGTAGCGTTCAAAATTGCTTTCCTGTGAAATACAACCTGTATTACCCCATGCACGTGCTACACTATTTCATGCCTTATTTATGTTGAAGCGATTATTAATGATGAAACATTTGACTTCTGCAAGGAATGAATATATGATTCAATTTCAAAAACAATCAAACCACTATTTGTAGAATATAATGAGAAGGCGAGATTTGTAGGATTCATCTGGTCCGACAGTTACCAATCAAGGAAAAAGTGTCATCTGTCTTCCCTTGCTAAAGTGTAAATTTCATAAATGCAGCAGGTCCAGATTACGAGACAATTCTCGTGCAGATGTTGTCTAACTAATCCTGAGCGATAATACCAATCGATTAATTGAACCACAAGTTGATTTACGCGTAAAATCCAAAACACACAGGATTTGTCTGGAAATAAGTACCATGCTACGCATAGATTAATGGAATATTGTATAGAAACCTCAAATAATGAGATGTCTGTGCCTGAGTGTTTGTAGAATACATAGGCAGAAAATAGAAAACACAGAAAAACTTCGTCAAAGATGATCCAGGTTAAGAATTAACAGTGTGTGACTGCCAGACAAAAATAAAGCCCGTACAGCAGATACTGTTTAACTATAAGAAGTTATTCACCATATATTATATAGAGTTTAACTTCAAGAGAAAATAATACAATACATTAGCAGACTACTTACTAGAGACAAGTAGCATAAATTGGACCTAAGGAAAAAATAAATGGCATCATAGGAATTAACCTATGTAAAGCTTCAGAATAATCATTCACTGGTGTAAATTTTTGACAGACTACTGTAAAGCAACGGCGTGACAAGGTGAACACTGAAGTTTTGTTCTGTTTGTGAATAAAGGAAACATGATATTCATGTATCATTTTTTGCATGAAGATTTGTTTGACAGTTTACAACTGTATACAAGGCAAGGAGACTACATTTTCAGCATTCGCAACAACAGCTATGACTTTAATCAATGCAACAAATGTGCAATACTTGCCTTCCGGTAATAAAATCCACTCTGGAAATGGAAAACGAACCTGATTTTCTCTTTCTTCATGTGCAAGTAGCAAGAAAATCTGAGGGAACCATAATAAGGTCAGCCTACTAGAAACCCACTTGGAACGGACAACTATGGAGTGTATACACTTGGTGAACTGTTGTACAAAAACGAAATTCAATTGAACTCCTTGCCACTAGAGTCTAATGCATTTGTAACCCTAACGCCATAGGAAAAGAACTAGATCTTTTGAATGAAACTTTCATCCAAAATGGATACCTGTCAAGATTCACTGGAAAGAATATCAAAACACAGAAGGACGAAACATTACTTCTCCCAAAAAGAAATTTCTATGAACCTTCATTTTGAAGGAAAGTTAACCAGCAGTATCCTTGAGAGAAGAATTTCATCATCTTCGAGAAGAATATTCCTCACAGAAACGCTAAGGTTAGTGTTCTTCAGTCATCCTTTGGACTGCAGAAGCGATATCTGGCACTGATCAAAAGTATTTTGTTTTGTAATAGGCAAAGAGATGCAGTTATCGTTTGAGAGCTAATGAAAGGACAGTAGTTAAAGAACCACCTCAAGTCGACCGCTGTTTTGACCCACCTTGTCAGTGTTAATAGTTCACACACATCACCTCACCAGAGTTGGAAACGAAGAACACAATATTGACAGAGGAATACGACGCACATCAGTCAGTTAGGTAAAGTCCAATGGTCCATAAATTTCACCTGCTTACAGTTTGTCATCTACGTCAACTACCATTCATTGCTCCAGGTGAGTGTTCATCCTGACGCTCGAACCATTTCTATTCAGAACTCTTCGATGCCCATCCTGTGGTCAGTCAATCGCCAACAGTGAATAATGATCATAATTCGATAATGATCATTTATCATATGAATCAGTGTTTCATATCAGTAAAGAGTATAATTCTGATAATTTCTATTTGGCGTGATACAATTATTTATCACCAGTGTTTACGCGTGGAGTTATTTTCCAATCCATCTCAGGAGTTACTGTCTTTTATTAGGAAGTTATAAAGACGAGATCTGAAAGTGCACATTGGTTTCCATCTTAAAATGATTGATGACAGCATTTTCTTCACGCAGGAAAGCTTGTATGAATAAATAATGAGGTATTCTGTTTAATTAATTAATGTCTCCTGCGTTAATTTTTATTGTCTTCGGCAGCCTTTGCAGCAGCCTCCTGGACAATTCTCACCTCGGCATCCACGGCATCCACAACACCCTCCACGGCATTTAGGGCATCCACCAAGACAGCCTGGACAACCACTGTTTGCTGCTGCTGCTGCTGCTGGTTCTGGAACTGGACCCGCAATAGCTGAAACCACAAAACAACAAAACACCACAATTAAATATTCATTCACTGATTAACTAATTCATCCATCCATCCATTCATTGATTCATTCATTGTTTCATCAATCAATTAACTAATTAATTATGTCATTTCTACTCATTGAATGTGTTATTTGTCTGTCTGATTGTCTCCCCATCTACCTGCATTGTGTATAGCTTCTCGTATGTGAACTAGTGATCCTCACCATGATCACGATAACGGTGTTGATGATGAAGGTGATGAGGGTCAGGAGAGAGTGGGGGTACGAGAAATATTTATAAGTACATTCATCTCTACCTGTCATGGGATCAGATATTTCATGAAAACATCAGTGTATTGACTACTGAAACTGAATTTAAATGACTTAACTGCCTCTTTGTACATTCAAAGTTTATATAATCACCAGTTATGAATCTGCGGTAGTATTTTCTTTTTAGGGTGATCAAATCTTCTTTATGTTTAATTTTAATCGCAATTTGACATGACTGAAGTCGCTAACAATACGCACTGCCACTTAATTGGAGAGACTACAATAATTCCTGCATAGATTATTTGAATGCTCTTGTCGAACTTATTATAATCGTGATAGGGCTGGATGAAGACAGGAGAATAAATGGTTTGAGGGACACTTCACAGACTATCAGGCTTACATTTTCCAGCCTTCTCATAAGAATCGTATGGATGTGATGTATACTATTACCTAAAATTAATATGCGGCGAGTTCTCTTCTCCACTAACATTACTGAATAGTTGTCCAAGGTTTTCGATCATCCTTCACCTGATCTCATTTCGTCAATAAATCAGCACTAAAATGGATCCGAATCCTTGCACATAGGTAAAGGTAATGCTCTGAATGAGGTAGGTAATTCAAATAGTTCCTACCATAAGCTACTTGACCTTCTAAGTTACGATTGATTACTAACATGCACTTTTTATTTGTTATGTATTGGATTAATTAATAAAAAATTTATTTTGTTACTGTGAATGATGCTAGTTATAAAAAGATCGTAAGGAGACGACAAAGTCACATCATCTCGAAATGTCTACCGTCTTATAGCTCTATTTAGATTTGACAGCAGCTGTTATTCATGGGTGATTAGTTAGGGTCCCAGCAGTTAAACGGTCTAAAAGCTCATCCTGTAAGTGGAAGGTTCTTTATTAGAAATTACGATGGGACTACCAGTTTCGAATACATCATAATGCAGTCAATATGAAACGATTCTGTTCAGTAGAATATGTCTAAAATTGCAACCGACAAATTAGCTGCAGAAGCAGTGAACAGAGATTATAAGAGAATATAGAGAAAACATGGGTCATGAAGATGCCTGATTGCAAAAAATAAGCAAAAATTACTATCAACAGGAGAATTTTAAACGACTTCATTTCCTTCACTTATTTGGGCAGCTCTGTTTTAGTTAAAGGTAGCGTGGATAGAAATGTAAATGCCAGGCAGGATTAGACAAGTAAGACAGACATTGACTTCTTTGCAATCTGGATGAAAATCTACTACAAATAACATGAGGAAATAGATTCGGATCTTCAACACCAATGTCAAGTCATGCAGTGTTTCTGAATGCTTCAGAGGCTTCACTAAGCGTGGCCAAAACATTTACCACGGGCTTCTACAGACGATCGTCAACACATATCTTCACCCAATAGTAAAGTTCAGATAGCCGGTCATGAAGGATAAGCAACAGGTTAAATGCAAACCAAACTATAGTATATCGGGCGACAAACAAGTGTAAATGACTAGGACAGGATAAGACACAGTTTGAGAAGACCAATGAGTGACAAAACGAAGCAGGCAATCCATCAAGTGGAAATCTAATCGACACGTGTGATGACATAGAAAAGACAGTGTGAAGAGGCAATGAGAGCTTAAGGATACCGGACAACCGTGGATTCAGCTGAAAGGGATTACAGAGAACATACTGCTGAATCACAATGTTCCAGTAGGGTCACGAGTGACCAATGTTATTAATTGTTACACAGTATTCTGTGAAGTCATAATAGCCATTTATGATGAAGCTTTTATAACCGAAGTGATTGGATTTTCAAACTCAGATAAGTTGAAAATAATAAATTTCATCAGTCAGAGAACCACTGAGAATCCCTAGTGTGCTAGGCGCCTGTTTTGACATAATATTCAAGAAGTGTGCAAAATGTCTCCTTTACAAATGACAGAGCGTTACATACTACTGAAGTAAGGGGATAAAATGTTTCACAGGTTCTAGCTTCTAACAATTAGTGATAAAAACAATAAAGAATTTAAAATAATAATTGATCATAACTATTCATCTCAACGTAGAAATGATTATTCCTTGTTCTTTGATAAACGAATATATCTGAAAAAACGAAGTATTCACTGTGAAACTGTGTAGTTCAAAGTTTCTCATAGTTGTACTTTGGAGTGATTAAAATCAGGGAATAAAATAAAATAAAACAAACGAATAATTCCTGATTCTTTCTAACTTCAATGAATTTCCAGTTTTTGTTTCATCAAAATATTTATGTAGAATCATTACCATAATTTTAAATATCTTCACTTGAACAACTCAAAGTTCACTGTGAACAAACTATATAATAGAATTAGTTAGGTATTTAGTCTTTATTAAAAAGCACACCATGATTAACCTGAGTGTTGTATAGACGAATTCATCTTATGAGAACAGTGAGTAATTTTTTAATATGTTGAATATATTTTAATATTAACAGTTTCATAATGAAGACTCCACTTTAAATGCAGTAGGGCATTTTCAGCTTACTGACTGCAAGGCAATTACTTGATGCTCAATATCTTCAAGTACCTTTAATAGTACTAGAGGGTGCACCATATGAAACAATATTGTTCCATCCAAAGAGTCCCATATTACTCCATGAGATTTTTCTTCCATTTCCTTGAAGAAATTTCAAGCAATTATTTGGAACCTTCATGAAAATGTGTAAGAGTAGGTTATGATTCATGAAAGTAGCTGGATGGTTGAACCGATATGAAAGGCAGTAAATACAATAAATTCTGATGGATGACAAAACCATTTTGATATCCTAGTGATTTCAGCAGGTCGCCGATTATGGAACAGCATAAACTATACTGCTTCTCTATCCATGAATCCCTAGGGGGAAATAAGGCTTCAAAAGCATGTCGCTATTTCATTCGCTCACTGCAGTCCTTTTTATCTGACTTCGTGACTGCTGAGAAGCTCCTAATTTTCCCTCAAACAATTTCTTACACGTCATTCTCGGCCCAACTCACAACTCATCGTTCCCGTTTAAGGTTCTACTCGAGGGATGGCCAGACGTGCATGTTACTCAACAGTCTTATAAAGGTCTCTCCGACCCATCTTCCCTTCCTTAAGGATATTTATTAGGCCAGTTGTTCTTGGTCTGTTTGCTGCACTGCTAGAGATACCTGTTGCTTTTTCTTGCTGCCCAGAAATCTGATGTTCAGTGCTCTGTGAGGTCAGGTATTAGTGTTTATCTGCAGCAAACTGCTGGAAATGCAATTAGTGATATGCCATTCAAGTCTCTGAAGCGCTGATTGGCTTTGGTGGATCTCTTTTTACTTATGCTGAGTGCAGTGGACTTCCATAGTAGCTTCAGATTAGTCAATGTCTAAAGCACATATGTAAAATCATGAACACACAAGTAAATATTCACTCATGTTTATATCGGAATTTTTCATATTTATACACGCAAACACGCATGTAGGAATATATTATACCTGATTGCATATATATATATATATATATATATATATATATATATATATAAGGATTTACGTGAATAGTATATTGATACACATATATACGCACCATATGAACCACACGCATGCACACTGACGTACATTTCTTATGAATAGTCTAGTAACTAGAGGAATGAATTAGGGACAAGCCCGTCAAGGATGTGACAGCGTAACTAATCCTTAACTACCCACGCCTTCGTGACAAAATATCAAGTTATCTATAAACGACTTAGTATCTTCACGCTCATAACAAAATTAGATACAGCGCAGACACCCACAACCAAAATCTGCAACATAGTTTATGAGAATTGCCATGGCGTGATACCGGACCTAATCGGCCTAGCTAGACACAAGGTCTAGTCCAGACACCAAAAGAATAGCTTTGGAAATATGAACACGATTCAGTCTTGATCCCTTAGCATCTATGGCAGTCTGACCAGGCAATTCAGACTTTCATTCTCAAATTCAAAAGCCGAGAATATACATTTCAGTATGTTTTTCTATTTGATAGATATAATAAGTATCTTTCACTCGTGTTCCATTAACTTTCGCATTATCCCTCTTCTTTTCCGAGAAAATAAATTTCAAATAAATAAACTATTCTGTGACCTGAATGTGCAGATGATTTCAGCCACACGGACATCGTTTATGTCCTATTTTCTCCCGCATAAATGTGTATAATAGGTAAATGTGTGCTGAGGGTGAACGAAATGTGTTACGAAAATGCATTACAGGTTTCAGATAAATTACGTTTTCTAGCTTTTCCGATGCTATCTGAGTTTGACATACTCTGAAGTACAGTCTGTAGCTAGCACTGTTATTATTATTGTTCCCTTGGGTCCTAAGTGAAACACTGGACTCCAACAGCCCATCACTACTTGGTCCTATTCCCAGTGGTCATCTTTACCTGGCCTTACGACTATCTGTTGTCTCTCTTCTCCTGCTAACACGATCTCCTACATGTCACACTCGGATGCCACACCTTCCGTTTCCTATTTGGATTCCATCAGAGTGATGAACTGGCGCCTGGTTTTATTCGACGGCCTCTTCAGAGTTTGCCTAATCCACCTCACTTTCTTCTGTATATTTCTTCAGCAATAGGTTCTTAGTCCCTTCGCTCCCTTAGTTTCCTGCATTCAATTCCTAATGTGAAGCCAGTGAAGTTAGCTAATGATAAAAGTCCTCAACAGGCCGTAGGAAGTGCCTTTTGTGACGCGCCACATTTCTGACCCATATGGAAGAAGTGACTGATATAATATCTGTCTTGAAAACCGAAATGCTGCTTTTAGTGCTGAGTGCAGACGATTTTCAAACTGATTTCAGAATGATCATATTTTGGATAGTCCACATCTATTAAACTGGCTCTCACAGATTCCTAGCACTTCTACGCTATATATACATTTGCTACCCAAGGAATGTTTCCAGCTTCATTCATCATAAGAGCATTACACATTCTCATCTTTACATTTCTTTTCATCGAATGTAGACACGTAGGCAGACTGGCTTGCCGAAGACCTTCGCCAGCTCAGTGTGTCATTTCGCCTCTCCCATTCCAGAGAAAATCTGGCTCGTTTTTTAAACTTTTATTATTCTGCTTTTGTTTTCAAGTTTCTATAGCCGTTCGACTCATTTTCCAGGGTCAGGCCGTCCTCTTTTGTTGGCTTTCGACCGGCGAGTAAACCATAAGAAATCGACTAAAACCATATTGCACATTGTTAGTTCTCTCCAGGCGGTTTCAGCAGAGACTTCATTTGAAAGCCTATCTTAAGTAAGTTGAAGCCAATGAAATGATTCTACTCACATTCATTAGGACGACCAAATCATTTATCACCTATACAGATAAAATAGTCATTTCACATAGCCATGGTATGAAAGCCAATTTTATTCTCCTCACTCCTTTTGTAAAATATATTCTTCGAGAACTTATTTGTGCTCTTCATTTGCACCATTCGGAACAGAATAACAAAGATTCGCTTAAATAACAATAATAATCACACAAGTTTATCCGTCATTATTCATACACTTTAGTTTAGTAGATACACACATTGGACTTCCTAGTAATAGATAGTATCTCCGAAATGTTCATAAATACTCTTCATAAATGGATGTAGAGCACTGAACAGTGGTCATCAGAGGCATACACTTTACTGACATTTGTAACAACGGTTCAATTTGCGAGTGCTCATTTTTAAATTATGATTAACATTGAGCCTTGACTGATCACTGACCACAGAATGTTTTTGAATGGTTTTATAAAGAAGTGTTGTCGGTGAATGTCCAGCAATTCGAGCTTGAGAATAAATTCCCCTGTATAACGCTGACTGGTAGTTCAGGTAGATCACAAACCAACATAAGCCGAGAGTCATGGAACAGCTGAATGTATCTTAGTGACCGATGGGCAACGCATTCATGCCATAAGATGAAGTTCTAGGTTCGCGCTTATGATGGGGTGACGTGTGGGGCCTGTTGAGAATGGCAGTAGATTTCATGTGTTGTGCAACTTCCATCAGTTCTCTAGCTCTTAAACGATGCGTATGTCTCTACGTAAACCATAAAACAATCTCTCTGGTCCAAATGAATTTTAATTAAGTTAAACTTTGGAAATGCGACCAATAAGACTAAGCTGTCGATTCTCTAACGAAGAGTCACACGTTTTCTTCACTTGTCGTAACACCTATTAAACTCTCGTCGACTCACTAGTAACATCAGTCTTCACACAGTGGGTGTGACTCATCTATTCCAGGTAATTAAGTTCAAACTAGAAACTCAGACAATAAGAATATACGATCAAGTAATAAAGACGGGTTTCATCCTCAACCTCATATCCAAATGTAGCATGAACTACCATCTAAAATTAACACATCAAGGACATCAAGGAAACATAAAATAGCTCAGAGGTGTTAAGCACCTACTACTGACTTGTCCTGACAACAACGCTGCTGAAAGAATTAATGCCAATTAAATTAAACAAAGTAACAAAAAAGGATTAAAGATTGATTAACACAACGTTAGGTAATCTAACTAAATAAGGATTACTAAGTTAGGTTAAGAGTAATAATAAACTGTTTCTGAATGCATAACGGGGGGGGGTTGGGCTTAAGTCCATGAATAGCTATAGCCTAGGCGTATTTCACTAAGCGCCCTTGACCGTTTCTCAAGGAACTTAACCCTGAGTTCCTATTGTTACGAAGACGCTCAGAACCGATAATTACTACGACTGATTCTCGACTTTAACTCCAAAACACCAGTGGTTGTAAGAAGGAAATTGTATTATTTGGTAATTAAAATCGAGGTTAGTAAATAGTCTGTGAACAAACGTTTTACAATAAATATGCTGTACTTTTATTCGTGCTCCTTCGTCTTCTTCGAACTTGTAAACGATTGAACCATTCGCGCCTTCGAGTTGCCCACTAACGGTGATCAAGGCCAATGAACCAACGTTCAGTGTTCACTTCCACTGACATGGTTTTTATAGATGCCCTTAAAGGCTGAGTTAACACCAGTCTTATGATTCATCTCGATTAGATTTTAAAGTAAAAACGAAGTTGGTAGTCTGACACTATTGGTTCGTTTACCACAATTCATTTGTTTTTCTAACCATTTTAGGATTTGCTCTCCCACCCTCATATGCAAAGCACGATTATTCATCCCTATGTATGTGTGCCCACTCACACACGAAATTTGGTAAATAGTGTGGGGTGTGACATAATCACTTGTGCACTGCATCAAAATTTCATTTTCTTTGTCTATAACATCAACTGTGCAAATACCTCGAATTCCCTTAAATAGTCATTTTACCAAGCGTCTCTTGTACTAAAATGAACAGAAGCTGTGAAAATTAAGGTATTACCCTGCCCAAGTCGGCTTTCTGTAGATAGACCGTCTTATTGAGCCATCATCTCTTTGACTCAGAAGTATGTCTAAAAATGCTAGCTGGTTGCGACTTTCTTCCTCACACATGATCGTCGCATATCAAAATGATATCACCTACATATCTCTTATAGAAGGATAATTTAGAAATTAAATCAAGAGATAAGTTTTCAACATAAGACGTATAAACGTCCGCTAACAAAGGTCCTAATGGACTCCCCATAGCAACGCCATCCACTTGTCGAAAATGTTTACCTTCCAACGTGAAATGGACGTTGCCAGTACATAGTCGTTAAGACGAATGAGGATTGATCGTAATCCTAAGAATTTAAAAAGACATGCTCTTAATCAGATTGATTTTGTTAAATCTCTTATAAATTATCTAGAAAGGAACATATCACGAAGACGATTTTCAGTTGGTGATTTACCTCAGGAATGACGATTGATGTTCATTGAATATCTTAATAACGTAACAGTCAACAGAAGTAATAATAAAAGGATAGGTCTTGTTGAATCTCTCGAAAGCCAAAAGCTTGAAAGGAAATTTCCGTCAGTTCCAGGCCGGCATGTTCACACATTTTCCAGTGTCCTGCTTAATAAGTTTCAATTGGAGGTGTTATCCCTAGGTCCAAAATTTAGTGATTATGCTCCTAAAGTTGACCAATTAGACACTGGTATACAGTTTGAAAATTTGTATTCTCAAACGTCAGATCTTAACCCATCATCAGACGATGAACTAACTAGGTTCAAAACGGCGCTAGTTGACAGCTGCCAATAATACTGCAATAATATACATTCAATAAACAGTCTGTTATCTAAGCAACACAGAAAAGCTCTAAGAGAACGTAGAAGCAACGATAGCTTAATTATTAGCAAGCCGGATAAAATGACAATATATTTTTACTGGACAAAAGTGATTATGTTGAAAAATGGAAGGTATTTTGAATGATCAAACTAAATTCCAATCTCTTGGTGTTTCCCAAGACCTCAATGTAAGAGCGGAGAAACTAATGACCGACTCCCTGAAAAACTGAACCAAATTGGATTATTGTCGTCAACCACGTACAAGTCCATGAAACCAACGGGTACCAATACTTCACGTTATTACGGTCTACCTGTGTGGTGAGAGCAGGCTGCTAGCCGATTGGTTGACACTAATCTACGTTAATGTCTAGGTCACTAATATGGGCCGTGAGAAAATATGAACAAGGCTGTTTCAACAACCAATCACAGCAAACTTAAATGTGGACAAATATGATTCGCAGATAGATGGCTCTACTTTCTGAGAAAACGCAAAAACAACCAATCATAAGACTGTGTTTGTCTGCTTAACTTCCGAGAAACAACCAATCAGAAGACTGCCTTTTTCTGCTTGCATAAGCCTTATTAATGCACATAAAATATATATAAATACTAAAACAATTAGTCCCTTTGATAAATTTGAACAAGGCATTAAGAAGACAAATTTCGCGAGATGATATCATTTCGTAGTTTCTTTACAACCGCTTTACAACTAACATGGTTAACAATGATAAAATAAAGTTCATGAAAATTACTCAGTTAAATAAAAACAAAAGTACATACTAATGACCAATCATATTAAGATAGGTCATGCAGTCCAGGGTAGGCGAAGATTGAAGTCTATTGATTTTTGTACACACAGTTTAGGCTGTATGTGATTAATCCAAAGTGCTTCCATCACCTTCAATAACCTTGAATTAGAGTTATGTGAAATAATTGTGAAACAGTCATTAATATTTATTTTGTGACCAGACATTAATAAGTGTTTTGCAATGGATGATGCTGGATTTCTATTAAGATTAATCGCGTTAGGATTTTCGATATGATTTACTAGCCATTTTGGAATATGTTCTTTTCGACGACATTGGAACATTCTGTTAGTTCTACCTATATAGGTGTCACCGCAGCTGCAGGTGAACTTGTAGATACAGTTTGAAGTAGAGTCCACAGAATTTCGTCCTTTAATCGTAGGAACAGGGATCGAAAATGTTCGGCAAGTGAGAAAAAGAGATGCGGCGTAGAATGTGCGTTTGATGGCTGATCGAAGTCTTTGAGTTGTCAACTGCATAATCTGGTCGCCCTTGAATGGTAGATTAATAAAGATGGCTTTCTTTGGTACAGAAGCTGTCTTTACGAGATGTGGTTTTTCTTTGCTGTGACATGTGATAAAGCTCTCCGGATAACCATTAGCTAATAAAACTGAATGTACATGTCGAAGCTCATCCATCAGTGTGTCACTCGTGCATATTTTTCGGGCCCTTGAGAACAAACATTTCACTAGGGAACGTTTATACTGGATAGGAACAAAACTGGTAAAATGAAGATATTGTCCAGTCCTGATAAGGGAGAAGGCGTTGTCATTATGAACAAATCGGATTATCAAAATAAAATGAACGATATCCTCAAAGATCAGTCGAAATTTCTGCTGGACAATGCTACTGATAACGTGCTGCTTGTGGAAAAGCAGATCAATCGTCAGCTTCAGATTTTACTGATGCATGGTTTTATAAATGAAAAACTTTATAAACAACTTAAACCAATTGGGTCACATACTCCTCAGCTTTATGGTCTTCCGAAGATCCACAAAACTGGGAACCCACTGAGACCCATCTTAGACATGTCAAATTCTCCTTATCATAAAATCGCCAAATGGATTACAGAGGTCCTTACGCCTGTAAGAGACTCATTATCAAATCATTCTGTAAAAAGTTCATTTGATCTTACAGAAATGCTGGACACCTTGAACATTAAGGAAAAGGTTATGTGTTCAATTGACATAGAATCTTTATTCACCAATGTTCCCCTTCATGAAACTGTTGATTTTATTTGCGATTACATCACAAGCAACGGCATAAACTTACCCATTCCCGTCACTTACATCAAAGACATAATCTTAATGTGTACAGAAAATATTAGATTCACATTCCAAGAAAAGGCATATAAACAAATCGATGGTGTTGCGATGGGGAGCCCTCTGGGGCCCCTGTTAGCAGATATATTTATGTCGAAATTAGAGAAACAAATGCAAGGTATGCTTGGAGGATTTATGCTGTATAAACGTTATGTTGATGATACTCTTATTATTGGTAATAATAGTAAATCTATTGAAAACTTCATTACTCTATTTAATCATATTCATCCAAATATTCGAGTGACTTCCGAACTAGAATCGAATAACAAACTCGGTTTCCTGGATATTACTATGATTAGGAGAAATGATGGAACGATTCAGCGCTCTATTTTTCGTAAACAAACATGGACTGGACAATATCTTCATTTTACCAGTTTTGTTCCTATCCAGTATAAACGTTCCCTAGTGAAATGTTTGTTCTCAAGGGCCCGAAAAATATGCACGAGTGACACACTGATGGATGAGCTTCGACATGTACATTCAGTTTTATTAGCTAATGGTTATCCGGAGAGCTTTATCACATGTCACAGCAAAGAAAAACCACATCTCGAAAAGACAGCTTCTGTACCAAAGAAAGCCATCTTTATTAATCTACCATTCAAGGGCGACCAGATTATGCAGTTGACAACTCAAAGACTTCGATCAGCCATCAAACGCACATTCTACGCCGCATCTCTTTTTCTCACTTGCCGAACATTTTCGATCCCTGTTCCTACGATTAAAGGACGAAATTCTGTGGACTCTACTTCAAACTGTATCTACAAGTTCACCTGCAGCTGCGGTGACACCTATATAGGTAGAACTAACAGAATGTTCCAATGTCGTCGAAAAGAACATATTCCAAAATGGCTAGTAAATCATATCGAAAATCCTAACGCGATTAATCTTAATAGAAATCCAGCATCATCCATTGCAAAACACTTATTAATGTCTGGTCACAAAATAAATATTAATGACTGTTTCACAATTATTTCACATAACTCTAATTCAAGGTTATTGAAGGTGATGGAAGCACTTTGGATTAATCACATACAGCCTAAACTGTGTGTACAAAAATCAATAGAC